GGGGTTTCTCGGGGGGGGCGTGCCTGTGCAGGGACGTCAGGCCAGCCCCTAAGGAGGACCGGAGGGTGCATGAAGTGCACTAGCAGGGCCCTGGCCTGCTAGCTAACCTCTCAGCCCAGCCTCGGGTTTCTGCGGCCGTGGGGCTCCCCTCTACCGGCTCCGCTCTGCTCTCCGGAACCAGGGACGGCCCAGGCAAAGGGCCCGTGCGGCACTGCTGTGTGTCTAGGCAAGCGGCGGACCTCTCTGACTGCACTCAGATGGTCCCACGTACAGGTGGAACAGAGAAGACACCCGTACTTGTCTTTCTCCTTCTGACTTAGTTTACCCGGCAGAATCTCTTCCAGATCCATGCATGTTGCCACAGGGGCAGGATTCGCCCCGACCCAGCTGAGTGGCACTCCATTATATGCCAAGGACTGAGCTAGGAGAGTGTGCACAAAGGCCTGGCATGCATGGCAGAGACACTGCCCTCTGCCCACGTGCCGCTGACCCCATTCCAGGGCCCTGCTGGGGAAGGGGCAGGTAGCGTGTAGATGGCGGAAGTTTCAAGCAGCTCACGCTTCCGGGGCTGCAGTCATGGCAGACCCCGGAAGGAACGTAAAACCCCATGGCTTTGGTCCGGTTGATCTAGGGGTCACAGGGGCCCGAGTTTTGCCACCTGTGACAATCACCCAGGGGCTACTGTAGGCCTGGGTCCCCACTTGGAAAACTCCCCAGTGTCTGACCATTCTCCAGCAGGGAAGCTGGGGGGCAGGAGGGGAAGCGGGGGCTGCCGCTGCCTCCACCAACCTGGGGCCCAGGGCGACCTGCAGCCAGATGCCGGGGTGGGGGGAGTGGCAGAGAGGTGGGTGTCCCTCAGGAACCTCCTGCGAAGGGGTGTGTGGGGCCCAAGTCTCCACTCACCTTATTCTTTTTCACTTTGATCTTCTTGGGGACAGGAACATAGGTGCTGCAGGAGGAGAGAATGAGGCGCTTAGGGGGCAGGGGTCTCTCACTGGGAGCCTGGGGGAGCAGCTAGAGGGGGTGTGGGGTGGGGAAAGCACCCCAAGCTATATCCCCCCCCCCCCCCCCCCCCCTGTGCCCAGAGCCCTCAGGAAGCAGCACCCCAGCACGGACACCAGAGGGCGCACTCGATCAATTCAAGGAGGTTCTGTGGCTCTTAAGCCCAGAAAGGAGGAAGGACAGTCCGCCCGGACTGTCCACACAGGACTGTCCACACAGGACTGTCCACACAGCCTCAGGGGCACAGGCATCACCCGCCGGGGCTGGCTGGTGAGGCCCTGTCCTCCTCGCCCCTGGCTCGGCGCCGAGGTGAAACATGCCCCAGATGCAGGTCAGCAGGACCTGACTGGGGTCACTGGCGCTCTTGAGTTCCTGGGGCTCTCCCAAGCCGCCGCCCACGCTGGCCTCCTCTGGAAGTACAGCCCCCCAACTTTCTGGACCCCAATTCCTCAGGCTCCCTAACTCAGACCCAGACATGGTGGCTTTTGAAGCCAAGCTCTGCAGGAAGAGGAAACCTGCCTGGACCCCAGCATTGGTGGGGCGCTCAGCCCAGCCGGCGTTCCTGCCTCAGTTTCCCCGCTGGGAGGGAGGCGGCCACCGGCGGCCAAGCGAGAATCAGTGAGGTGACGCGTGCCAGGGCCCAGGGCCGCGGAGCTGGGGCAGCTCGGCGGGGAAGTGGAGGCGGCACGGGCTGGGGCCTGGGGGGCCGACCTGCCGAGCACCCTGTCCCCCGACTCCAGGGCCATTTGCACGGCTGGAAAGCAGGGGTGTGTCATCTTCAGGCCCTACTGCTGAGATCGGGGGTCAGGACTGCACAGGCGTGGGCCGTGTGCTCCCCAGAGATTCCAGGGTGGGGCAGTGGCGTGGTGGGGCGCCTCGGTGCCCGGAGGGCTGGGGCCGGGGCTTCCCTGGGCCCCGGGAGGGGGGGGCTGGGGAGGGAGGGCAGGCGGTGGGGTGGGGCCGCGCCTCGTCAGGCGCCCGAGGGCACTCACTAGGAGATGCTGCCTGTGGTGGTGGCGCTGACCACCCACTCCAGGTCCGTGGTCTTGAAGGGCACCAGAACCATGCTGACGTTCTCCCCCAGCTCCCGGAAGCTCTCGGGGTACACGAAGTGGTGGGTGGTCTTGCTCCCGACATCTCTCTCAAACCCCACCGTGGGGGCCTTGTTCATCCTGTGGGAGGCAGAGGATGGCTGCACCCCGGCCCGGGGGCGGGGCAGCTCTGCTGGGCCCCACGTCCTCGCCACCCAGTGGACACGGAGAAGACGCAACTCGGAGGTCTGCTTTCGTCCCCCCCACCCCGACCTTCTGCGGTGACCTGGTGGACGCAGCCGTCCCTTGCGCCATGCGGACGCCTGTCAGTCCTCCCCTTGACCAGCTCTCCCGCCCCATACACGCTAGACGCGGCCTCTGCGGGCCGGCGAGGGTCCAGGAGCGAGTCAGGGGCCACGGAACAGGAGACTGAGAAGGTTCCCAGGGTCCCAGCGCCACAGCCTGGTGCGTCTCCCACGGGCCCTCGTCTCCCTGGGGGTCTCAGGGAGCCAGGCAGACATGGGCTGTCTTTGTGGAACTTAGTTGGTGACACGGACTTGTCTTACGTATATCCCCAGGTATATCCAGTTGTAGCCGCCACAAGCCGATGTCTACACGCTGGTCGGGGGCTGGGCGGGGCTTAAGTAAACCCTGCCCCTGCCAGGCCCCTGGCAAAGGGTTTGCTCCCAAGCTCCAAAGAGGCGCTTCCGATCC